GTTTTCTGTGTAGTCAAAACAAGAAGTGATTCTATGTGTTTTGTGTCATCTGTGTCTTTGCATAATTTCATTAATTCTGCTCTTAAATAACTACAATATTTTGAGAACTATATCACTTCAAATATCCTCAATTTTGTTACTGCGACTCAGTAAGTTCTTCCTCAATAACAATACAACTGAGCATAGCAGTTTCTGATTGGCTCTCATTTTGTTTGATTCTAACACAAGTCATGATTGGTCAGTTGGTCATTAGGTCATCACACTTGACAGGTCTTGTTTGAATGTAAAAAAGTAAGCAGGAAAGTACACGTGTGCCTTTATCATCACCCAGACCTTAACCAAAATAATGAAATATATGTAACTGCCCTAAATTGGTAGCAGTTGAAATCCTTCAGGATAAATAATTGTACCATACTGAATAAGACCGTAAAGAGTGAAACATAAAAAAAAAATCAAGCTTATATACAATTATTTGGAATTTCAGTATAATTAAAAGTTGTTTTGTTTTTCACAGCTGCAATAAGATTGATAATAATATTTCCAAAAAGCAGAATTGAGATGACAGCTTGTTTGTTTACAAGGCATTAATAATTAAGAAAAGAAAACGTTAACCTACTGACAGAAATGAGTTCTTGAATTAACATACATTACAAGGGGAGGGCAACAAAGGGGGGAGGGGTGGCCCTGTTTCTATTATATCTTACTCTTGCTCATTCTCTAATAACAACATTTTCATCACATATTAACTGATTACAATAGTGATGGCTACCTTACCACCTCTTCAAGCTTCACAACTCAGCAAACTTTGACGATGTTTTGCCTCTCCACAGACTACGGTGCGACACTCGACTTCAACAAAGCAACAAATTCAATATGTTTGGCCTAAAATCACAAATAAACCAACATATCTAGAGTCTGAAAGGTCCATTGGCCTACAGAATTAAAGCACTGTTGAGATATAAGTAGGTTTTAAGCATTTTTACCTCCAAAACATTTCATGTTTTCATAAATCCACGTGCAATCCGCCATAACACTTTGACCGCAAAGCATCACGATTCATCCACAGGTAGCCCATGAAAACGGGATACATCCGGCCGCCATCTTGAATTTTAGGATGTGCAAAGAAAAAAAAAATCGCTTTTTCTAGAAAAACTGGTTCTTGGTTCACGTTTATTGTTCAATGAAAGGTCAGAGAGTTTCAAATCTGTGCAAAATATATGGCGAGACCTACAATTGGAGTATGATGCAGTATGACTTTGTCAAGTGGTCTACCCTCGACCGCGGAAACGAAAACATCAAAACACCGCGTTCGACAATGCACAAAAGTATGTCAATATATATTATATATATTGGACTAATTCATTTTTCCGGTCTGGTATCCTAGTGATTTGCGCGTTGTGATTGGCTAGAGCGCGGTCCGGTATTTCACGATCTGGCCGATCCATGGTATCCATATTGCAGCTAGGTTGCGAGCAAAGTTGCAGAAAATAGAATAAAAAATGAATAAAAATGTTATTTACCGGCAACAGGTCGGTCCATATGCTCGGTCCATGGGTGTGTACCATATAGAGATGGATTAAAAAACTCAAACACACTTTCTTTGAAATCCATTTTATTCCTCAAACATCACAAGACAATAACCATAATTATATTAGTCAGATCCTAAAAGTTAATCACAGACGTGCAACTTTGCTTTTAGTTACTATTTCCATGTTAGGGACCGTTGATTATTTTTGGGAGGGAGAGGGGTGGGTGATTAATTAGCAAAGTCAACTTTTTTAGCCCCCCACCCCTTAAAATACGCTTATTTGTTCCAATGACCCCCTTATCTAGAATCTTTTGTAAGATCACAACTTCTTTATTGCCGAGAACTGCTCAATACTCCAATTTCGAGTTCTGTTTTGCTCTGTGTTATCCTCAAAACCAAGTAACATATTCTTTTGTTTCGTTGATAGCCCGAAAAAACGCATGGAATTTGAAAAGAAAGACAATGGAATTGATTTGAAATCTCACACTTTTATTCTCACAATTAGGAATGTTTTTGCGCATAAATGAGGCTAACAAAGAGCATTGGAGAATTCGAAACTGGATTATTACCTATTAATGAGGAAGAACTAAAAAGGCTTGAAGCATGCTATGTATGTAGCATGTATCGTTTTCAGTAATTTTAATCTGGAACTGGGTATCGTTTTTTAGCGATTTTACTCTGGAACAGGGTATCGATTTCACTGATTTTTCTCTGGAACAGGGTCAGGGTTTAATTCAGGAATTATCAATGCTGGGTGAAAATCCACAGGCTGAAAATCCGGTCAACACGCAGGATAGTGCTGTATTTTACTGTGGAACAGGGTATCGTTTTCAGCGATTTCACTCTGGAACAGGGTCAGGGTTTTGAGGGAGTAACTTGAAAATTATTGTATTAAGTCCCCCCTTCCCTTAATAGCTTAAAAATATTTCAGGACCCCCTTTTTAGGCTTAGAAAAATTTCAAGATGCCCCAATTAATCACCCATTTCCCCCCTCCAATAAATAATGAATTTTATTTTCACAGTCCACAGAATATTGCTTTATCGCATTCTTTAGAGTGCAAGTCACATAAGCATGAAACAATTCTTAACTATGTAGTGCNTACAAATGGAAACAGATAACCAGAAGTTGACTGTGCATGTACCACCTTTCTCAGTATGGTCATAATACACAAAAACCCAGTTACAACTCAGGAGCGGATCCAGCTGGTGGGTGCASGGGGTGCRCACCCCCTCTTGAGATCTGTATAAGATCATTTAATGATTTTTTGGGGATGCACCTCCTCCCAAGAGCCCTGCACCTCTCCCTGAGGAAAATCCTAGATCCGCCCCTGCAACTGACTTACAATCATTGAAAAGGAATCTTGCTGGCTGATAGTAGACCTCTGGAGTGCATGCCGTTCCAGTGTGCTTAAAATTGTCTCTCAGTTGGACACAAAATGTTTCTTTTATAAAATCACTATTCTTGTACGTTTAGAAAAAATAAGGAATGTTCGTGGCTGCCTATATGTATGGYTGCATTATTTCGTATGGCACTCCAACTGTTTAATTTTTTGCTTGTTTGGATTTAATTTTGAACTTTACCTTAATCTTGTGTCAGTTGTAACTGGGTTTTTCTAACTTACAGCAGAATAAATGAAAGACAATGTTTGGTTTGTGTGTGCAAGTTGTGGAGTTATTTTTGTCATTTATTATCATTTCAAGGAACATTGGKATCAGGCATGTGCAGCATTACSAAGGAACCCTGTTTATTGGTGGTGTGTTYTGTGAAGAATCATSTYTATTAAATTGAGGAATTCTTTGATTTACCATAAAAGGTAAAGACTTTTTCASATCGAAGCACTGTAACTTTATGGCAATACATTCGTGAACATGATGATCYGTGACCTTATTATCTYAGAGTCCAAAACCAAGTACAAACAATCTSAGTATTTAAGTGKCATAGACTRTTTTTTAACATGACAGGGTTATCCAAAGGGTTCTTATACAATTGGTATGCCGCACATACTCAGTGGTTGGATGGTTATGATGGTTAATGGTCACTTTCTCTTCCTTTCTCTTGAATCCTGTCAAAACAAAATACTTACAACACAGAACAGTTAAAATGCCATTCCATGGTATATAATGAGCTAACATTAAAGCTTGCCTCAGCCTAATGCTTTGCTATCTGTTATTTGTTTTGCCCAAGGCAACAATACATTATACGTTCACTTTACATGAGCTTTGATCACAAAATCTGATAATTATGCACAAAGCAATAGACTTAATTATTCTTAGATTGCTTTTCTTAGATTGCTTTTCCAACTGAACCACTTCATTTGAAGTAAAATATTTCCCTTCCTCAATTTGTTTGATTATCATGCAATCATCCATATTTTCAACAATTCACTGTTCTATTAATACWGTAATCCATAAGTGCGGCCATAACATTAAGGCAAGCTTGTAATCTATAWTCAGAGTATACCACAWTGTGTGTTTRMGCTATTTGTGCATCAGTACCATTTACCATCGCATTTCACTGTAGCTGCAAAATCTGAAACATGCTTGGAATGTACAACAATATCAAACAAACAAACCATTAAAATACTAAAYGTAATATAGGGGTGGTGAATCGTCTACAAAAATCATGTCATTAGAGACAATGGTGAAGATRGTCTTAAGGTTAGGACACTCTGAACTGGACATTCAGTCATTAGAATATTATGCTTTATTTTTCCCTTTGAACATTGTAACATAGCCTTTTTGTTTAGAATATTAAAATWAGACAATATTTCAAAACAAACTATGTGCATATGTTGTTCTCTTTGACTAAATAACATATTGTTGCGGCAACCTATTAGTAATAATGATTCACCACCCCTGATATTCTAATACTTACCAATGACTTTTACTATGATTAGCTCCACAAAATTTGAATAATGATAATCAGTAATGCTGATGTCATTGACGTCGTTTAATTTTTTGTTATGTGAAGAGACTGTTTAAGTGTGACTAGTTGACTACTATTGAGACCAAGTATACTAAGCATGCCCCATCTTCATTTTTGAGTACATCAAGAACTACCATGGCAAATCACCTGTCCTAAACTTGAGATGACCTACTAGCAAACTGTAATGAAAGTGAATATTGCATGATATTAATTAGATGCTATCATTTCTTTATTAAAACATAAATGCAGTAAAAAAAACATAACATATTGATATACATTATTTACCTTTTCAAATCTCCTTCCATTAACATGGCTTCATTGAGATCTTACCTAAAAATTAAATTCACTAAGTTAATCTATTTCTTCATTGCCTGCTGGAAAATYATTGCAATATATGCAGCTTGAGTACATCAAAGTAGCATTAAAAGAAGTGAAAAGCACAGCCTTCCCTACTAGCAGAGTCTCTGTCATTGTATCCAATGAGTAGTTKGAACTACAAATGAGAGACACTCGGCTCGCARGGAAAAMACAATSAAAACAGCAGTGTTGTATAACTTACAAAATTCCTTTTACAATAATATGCATTGAAATAAAGCTAAATTGATTAGGAAAAATCTGAAAAAAACTGCATTTGAATGATTTACTATTATTTCATCCACACAGGCACACAACATACTTACCCTTTGATAGGCCACATCAATTTCAGTTGACCCAACAGCCATCAGCTGGAATACACCTCTTTGCAGACACTAAATGACACAAGCAAGCACCAGCTACTGAAAGCAGGAAAACATCTCTGGAAAAAACTTCAAATTTAAGAGGCACACAAACTGGAAATCATCCTAGACAACTAAGAAAGTGGTCAAACAAAGTGCTAAGCCATGTAGTAAGACTGTAGATGTRTTTTAGTAGGTRAGTTCATGGAATATTCTTGTTTTTGCTCCTTGTTTACAGATGCTCTGTTGCTGAACTCAAGAACTAGAGGAAAGGGACATTCTTTAGGCAACGTTTACTCTTAATACTGTTCTAGGGTTGGTTTGAGAGAATGCACAGAGAAAGTGATATTCCTTATTTATTTGTAATACAGGTGATATAATAATCTTACTATCCTTTGTTTCGCCATGCAACAATTCCAGGCACAAGTTCCAACATGCTATAAGTTGCAGCCTACTATAATCATCACTTTTTTCAAATAAATCCGTATAAAGCTCTAATCTAGATGATTGATAATAGTCTATTGCTAATTAGTATGTTGTGACTTCTGCCTGGATTGATCATGTCATATGATACAAATGAAAGCAACATTTTGAAGTGATGTGAGAAAAAAAGATCAAAGAGAAGACAGAATCTCCCCAAAAAGGAATTGAGAG